CTGCCATTTGACTGGTTTTTTCCCCCTATGGCTTGTTTATGTGTTTTTTATGTGTACCCTCGTGTGCAGTGTGTGTGAAAAACATGAGCAAGAGGTGTAAAAGCATAACCATACACGTGATAAAATGGATTTTGGTCCATGAAAGCTTGTGTCATAATATATTTAACAGATGCCTATTTAAGGGAAAAGCAAAACATTTGCTTGGGCAAGCCATAAGCCACCATTGTTTAAAATAATCATAAGATTACTGTGAGGAAATAGGTTTGAGGCTACAGGAAAAATATTATGTAAATACATTTACAGTTTGGCTTCCCAAAGTATATTTTTCATTATATTCAGATGTGCCGTGATTCACAACAGTGCCAAAAACAGGAAAAAAGGTTATCAATGAATTGATTCTAGACACATCTATGGGAGTCTGAGAATTCAGACTGAAGGCCAAAATTGGCCTTATATTCTTATTAATTTCCAAGTAGAAGCAAGCAACGTACTTTTGGATGAAGGGAACGTAACCCTAAAATAGGATAACTCTGGGTATAAAAATCAAGATTGTGATTTCAAAAGCTATATTTAGGTAACTGATTACAACGCCCAACATAAAACCTATTTTTGAAACAAGTCTGCTTAGCCTGTGATTGTGAACATATCCACAATTACAGACACTATCACAATTCCATTTCAGGAATGGCTCAATAGTGAATCAAAATGAAGAGAATGCAGTTTTACACTCCCTGTTTATAAACCAGATGTACAGTCATGTTTATGTCATTAGTCCCTTTTAATTATACATTCCACCATGCACTTTTCAACTGCATCACAGATCGCCGGAGAGTATTTTTCCATTTTCCCCAATGTTGCATCTCTGTAAGACTGAGGATGCCAGTCTTGTGTTCATTTCCTAGCAATAAATGTGGTCTTATATTCTGTGAATCGCCATGGGCAAATAGGCGGCAATATAAATTCAATCAATCAATCAATCAATCAATACCTCCGGACTTGATACTATCTCAGATTAGAAGTCTTATCACACCCAGATATCATTGCTATAGATTCACACAGGTTTCTCCTATTGTTATTGGGCATCAATAAAACAAGGTAATGCCAATCAAAAGATGTGGGTTAAGGACTAAGATTTCCCTATGTCCGTGATGGCGAACCTATGGCACGCGTGCCACAGGTGGCACACGGAGCCATATCTGTGGGCATGCAAGAGTTGCTCTAGCTCAGTTCCAGCGCGCATGCACGCGCCAGCCAGCTGATTTTCGGGCCTTCCGGAAGTCAGGAAACGGGCTGTTTCCAGCCTCTGGAGAGCCTGGGGGGGCGTTTTTGCCCTCCCCAGGCTCCAAGAAAGACTCTGGGGACTGGGGAGGGTGAAAAACAAGCCTATCGGGCCCACCGGTAACCTTTTTGCCGTCGTGTGCCAAAAGCGGGGGGAGCGCCGGGGGGGGGTCGCATGTGCGGATGAGCGGGGGGAATTGAATTATGGGTGTGCGTGACCCCCGCGTGTTCTCCCCGCTTTTGGCAAAAAGGTTAGCCATCACTGCCCTATGTGGTAGGCCTAATCCAGGACAACTACAATGTGCTTGTTTTAGTGGTTAAGACCCCGGGCTAGAGAGCAGGAAATTGTGAGTTGTAGTCCTGCCTTAGCAATGAAAGCCAGCTGGGTGACCTTGGCCCACTCACTCTTTCTCAGCCCAACTCGCTTCACACAACGGTTGTCGTGTAGAAAACGGGAGGAAAAAAGCGGGCAGGATATGTTCACCACCTTGAGATATTTATAAAAAATAATAGATTGAACTGAATTACTGGTTGGGGAATTTGGGGAATCAAAATTCTACCTATCTGGAAATTTGGTCAAGTTGTTCCCAAATAAAAGAAAGGCCACAGCATTGTACATCCAAGTCCTTTAATGCACCAGCGAGTTTCCAAAATCACAACACAACCTCTCAGCATTCTGCTTAATGCTTCACTCTTAACGCTACTCAGCTCCCCATTCAAAACTCCGCACGTCATGAAAGAGTTTTCTCAGGATGCGCCTCGCCATCCTTGACTCATTCTTCCGTCCATCCATTCAAAAGTTAAAGCTTTTGGACATTTCCTGCTGCCAATTTAGGAGTCTCTAACTTGAAAAGGGATGAAAAAGAGCATCTTGATGATCAGGGAGCAGATATTCAAAATATGAAGTGGGCAATGAAAAAAACTTGGCTCAACCCCACCCCACCCCGGAGCCATTTCATAAAACAAAAGGCTTAAAGCCCCCTTCCCGCCCCTCCACTTGCTCCATTTAGTACCTGGCGTCAGTTCCTTGTGAAGCAAGGCAGAGCTCAAAAAAGCAGCCCCTAATTTGAATTCATGATTTTTTTTTATCTTGGCAACCTTTGCATTTGAATGGAAGAGCAATCTTTTGCATCCCAATTCCTTGACTGCAGATCCATACCAGGGTGAAATGCTCCCGATGGCGGCCGATGGTTCGGAGAACCGGTAGCGATGGCGGCGCGAGGCTCCGCCCACCTCCCAGTCATCGTTACTTCCTGGTTTTAACCAGGAAGTAACCTGTTTTTTACCCTCTGCGCATGCACAGAGGTCCGTGTGCACTTCCGAACCGTTGGGGAGGTAAGTAGATTTGACCCCCTGATCCATACCCTCAGCCTCAAATATAGGTAGCCCTCGACTTACGACCACAATTGAGCCCCAAATTCCTGTTGTTGAGTGAGACGTTTTGTTAAGTGAGCTTTGCCCCATTTTACGACCTTTCTGGCCACCGTTGTTAAGGGAATCACTGCAGTTGTTCAGTCAGGAACACGGTTGTAAGTGAATCTGACTTCCCCGCTGATTTTGCTTGTCAGAAGGTCGCAAAAAGGGATCATGTGACCTAGGGAACACTGCAACGGTCGTAAGTATGAACCAGTTGCCGAGCACCTGAATTTTGATCTCTGTGATCACGCAGGTGCTACAAAGTTTAACTGTGAAAAATGGTCATAAGTCACTTTTTTTCAGTGACGTAACTTTGAACAGTCACTAAATGAACCATTGTAAGACTAACTCAGCAGCTAGTCCTCAAGTAACAACAGTTTGCTTAGTGACTGTCTGAAGTTACGATGGCGCTGAAAAAAGTATCTTCTGACCATTTGTCACACTTACACTGTTTGTTCCTAACTTAACAACTGCAGTGATTCACTCGACAAACGTGGCAAGGTTGTAAAACAGGGCAAGGCTCACTTAACAAATGTCTCACTCAGTAACATAAATTTGGGCTCCATTGTGGTCCTAAGTCGAGGTCTCCCTGTGGATGCACAACAGCTGTACAGCCGTTTTTGTAGCAACCCAGGCCTCCACCACCCCTGAGACTGCATAATAACTGTAGAGCCTGGATCGCACGGGTGCCTGCTTAACGACCGTGACAATTTCATGACCGTAATTCTGAGCTCAATGGTGGTCGTAAGTCAACAACTACCTGTAGATGCACAATAGCTGTAGAAGCAGTCCTCGACTTATGACCGTTCTTGCAGCAACCCAGGGCCTACCCCACCCATGGGCACCCCCTTCCACATAATGACCATATCGGGGAGAGTCAGGATTGCTTTACCGACCACAACAACACAGCCTCAATGGTGGTTGTAAACCGAGGCACACAGGGTGCCTTGCTTAACGACCGTGACAATTTCATGACCGTAATTCTGAACTCAATGGTGGTCGTAAGTCAACAACTACCTGTAGATGCACAATAGCTGTAGAAACTCCTCGATTTATGACCCTCCTTTCAGCAACCCAGGGCCTCCCCCACACCCCTGAGGCACACCCTTCCGCATAGTGACCATAATGGGGAGAGCCGGTGCCTTGTTTAATGACAGCAATTCTGGGCTCCATTGTGATCATAAGTTGAGGACTCCCTGTGGATGCACAACAGCTGTACAAGTAGTCCTCGACTTATGACCCTTCTTGCAACAACCCAGGGCCTCCCCCCACCCTTGAGGCACCCCGTTCCGCATAATGACTGTCATGGGGAGACTCGGGATCGGTTTAACGACCGCAAACAACCTCATGATGGCCCTAATTCTGGCTCCACTGTGGTCATAGATCGAGGACTCCCTGCAGATGCAGAACGTACAAGAAGTCCCCAACTTACGACCCTTCTTGCAGCAACCTGGGGCTTCCCCCCCCATCCCCAGAGGCACCCTGTTCCGCATAACAACCGTCATGGTGAGACCCAGGATGGCTTGAACGACTGCGACAACCTCATGATCGTTTTTCTGGGCTCTACTGTAGTCATAGGTCGAGGACTCCCTGTGGATGCAGAACGTACAAGGAGTCCCCCCACTTACGACCCTTCTGGCAGCAACCCGGGGACACCCCGTTCCGCCTAACGACCGTCATGGTGAGGCCCAGGATTGCTTTAACCTCACGATCGCAATTCTGGGCTCCCCTGTGGTCATAGGTCGAGGACTCCCTGCGGATGCAGAACCTACAAGAAGAAGTCCTCCCACTTACGACCCTTCTGGCAGCAACCCGGGGACACCCCGTTCCACCTAACAACCATCATAGTGAGACCCAGGATTGCTTTAATGTCATGATCGCAATTCTGGGCTCCACTGTGGTCATAGGTCAAGGATGCAGAACATACAAGAAGTCCCCCACTTACGACCCTTCTGGCAGCAACCCGGAGGCACCCCGTTCCACCTAACGACCATCATGGTGAGACCCAGGATTGCTTTAACCTCATGATCGCAATTCTGGGCTCCACTGTGGTCATAGGTCGAGGACTCCCTGCGGGTGGAAAACATACAAGAAGAAGTCCCACCCCCTGCCACTTACGACCCTTCTTGCAGCAACCCGGCAAGGGCGTTCCGCTTAACGACCGTCACGGCGAGAGCGCCTGGCTCGCTTTAACGACGGCTGTAAGTCGAGGACTTTACCTTCCCAGCCGTCGCTGAAGCAGCCCGGCCGCTCCTTCGCCTCTCACGCCCCTTCCTTTCCTTTCCACCCCGGCCCCGGTCACTCACCATATTACAAATGGAGGCGATGTTTCTGACAGTCATGAGTCTAAAGGTTGCAGCGATTCCCCACCGCCATCTTTAGAAGGGGAAAGCCGCATGGCCGCGGCTGGAGAGCGGAGGAGCGGAGAGAATCGGCCCCGCAGGCGGCGGCGGCCGGCTGCAGCTGCAGGAGCAGCCAGGAGGAGGAGGAGGAGGAGGAAGAAGGGCGGCAGGCGGCCGAAGGGCATCGGCTCGGCCAAGGCGCGGATCAGCTGCAGAGCGCCGGGCAGAGCATGGCTGGCCGAGGGAGCTCCGGGCTTTGCCTGCCTGCCTGCCTGCCTGCCTTCCACAGCCGGGACGTCCCCGGCTTCTCACTCGGCCTCTTTCCTTCTTTCTTCTTCTTCTTCTTCCTCCCCTCCTCCTCCTCCGCCGCCGCCTCCTCCTCCTTCCCTCGCTCCGCTTCCCGTCTCTCCATCGCAGCGCAGCGCCCGGGATCCACTTTGACAGCAGCGGCGGTGGCGGTTATTTTTTTTTTTTTTTCAAAAGGGAGGGAAGGGGGAGGGGAGTCGGAGAAACGGTCCCGAGCGGTCGATCCCCGTCGGTGACGTGGACGCCGACCAATCATCCGGCCGCCTTTTTCGGGGAACGCCAATGAGAGCGGGCACGGGGAAACAGAGAGGGGGGAGGGCCAAAGGCAATTCCCCGCCCACCAAAACAGCCTGGAGAGGCGAGGATGGGGGAGGGGGCGCGTTTGTTTGTGTGTGTGAGGCGCTTGGAAGGTGGCTTTTTTCTTTTTTCCGCCTCCAAGGAGCTGCGGGGATCCGCTCTTTAGCGTCCTCCTCCTCCTCTTGCTCGACGTCCGACCCGTCGCCACGCATATGCAATTTAGGATTTAAATAACAGTTGGAAGGGACCTTGGAGGTCTTCTAGTCCAACCCCCTGCTCAGGCGGGAAACCCCATATATATATGGGATATATATCTATATATCTATATCTATATCTATATATCCCATATATATATATCTATATATCTATATATCTATATATCTATATCTATATCTATATCTATCTATCTATCTATCTATATATATATATATATATATATGGGATATATATATCTATATCTATATCCCATATCTATATCTATATCTATTATATCTATATCTATCTATCTATATCTATCTATCTATCTATCTATCTATATGTCCTATCTATCTATCTATCTATCTATCTCCCATATATATATATATATATATATATATATATATGTCTTATCTATCTATCTATCTATCCATCCATCCATCCATCCATCCATCCATCCATCTATCTATCTATCTATCTATATGGGATATATATATCCCATATATCCCATATATAGAAAGACATATGGATGGATGGATGGATGTATATGTCTTTCTCTTTAGCCAGGTTTTACCTACGTAAACCAAGATATGCAGCCCTACTTTAGTGAAATCACAATTCACTAATTTCTCTTTTTTTTTCTTTTCTTTCTGGCAGCCAGCAGACCCTTTGCTGCCCATTGGGAGACTAAGATAGATCTAATGAGGCCTTATATGGCCGAAATAAAGCCTCATCAGTTAGCCACACTGTCATCTCAGGGAGGAGATGACAGGTCTGCTGGCTGCCAGAAAGAAAAGAAAAAAAGCCCAGAAACTAGTGAATTGTGATTTCACTAAACTAGGGCTGCATAATATCTTGGTTTACGTAGGTAAAACCTGGCTAAAGAGAAAGACATATACATACATACATACATACATACACACACACGGGAAAAGACCCAAATACACCAAAACTTGCATACCTCTACCCGTGAAAATCTACGAAAACATTCGAACTTGGGCTTCCTGCATGTTAGGCAATTGAATTAACCTTCTGAGGCCCAAGTTTGAATCCGAGTAAGGGTATGGCTAGCTGATGAAAGCTAAAAAGCTTGAAATAGATCTATACTAGTCTCCCTTTATTTTTTTTATCAGCAAAATATAAATTTGGTATAAAATGGTTTGTCATGAACGCGACTGCTTGAGGGCTGGATTGGAGGTGAAAGGCGAACGGGAGCAGAGTGCCCACTCCCGCATGTTGGGGTAGACCAGGTATCTCGATAGAAAAACACTTTATGTATGTATGTATGTATGTATACATATACATATACATATACATATACATATACATATACATATACATATATACAGTGGGGGATTCAAGTGATTTAACAACCGTTCTCTTCCCTAATGATTTCTTCCAACAACCATTTGCCAAACTGCTCAGAAAGTTAACAACCGGTTCTCCCGAAGTGGTGCGAACCGGCTGAATCCCATCACTGCTCCTTTCCCTGTGACACCTCGGTGTTATCTTCTAGTCTTCTTTTCCATCTTCCATAAGTTTCTTCTATCTTCATATTCATCCAAACTATTCTAACATTTCATTTCTAAATCGATATTATGCATTGACTCCCCTTTTTATTTTATTAATTTTTATTTTATTTTTAAGACAGACAAACATTTAATACATCAATCCTCCCTTCCAGTGGTGGGATTCAAGTAATTTAACAACTGTTCTGTGCCCTAATGATTTCTTCCAACAACCAGTTTGCCAAACTGCTCAGAAAGTTAACAACCGGTTCTCCTGAAGTGGTGCGAACAGAAGGGGAAATCACATCACATCACACACACACACACACATACACATACACACACACACACACACACACACACACACACACACACACACACACGGAAATGTGAATCAGTTTCTCAAGCGTCCAAATGTAAACCGTGCGACCGTGGGGATGATCCTGCAACAGCCATAAGTGTGCAAAATGGGTCGTAAGTGTGCGGAAACGGTCCCAAGTCACTTTTTCGGTGCCGTTGCAACTTCGAACGGTCGCTAGGCGAATGGTTGTAAGTCGGGGACTAAGTGGTACGTGCAGGCATTGGGCTCCTTAGGCACGTCTGAAGCCCGCGCTGAAGTTTTGACTGCCGGCGGGATCTCTCCTGACAGAAACTTCTTCCCTGCTTCCCCCCTTCCAGATCAATTTGCCTTGGGGGAACCAAACCCTGGAAAACCGTGGGAAGTGCCTGCTTAAAAGCAACCCGCAGCCTCTCCCATTAATGAGGATTGCATGAATAAATGAGATTTTTCTCACAACGGCACAGGAGCCCCGGCTGTTCACTAAAGACGCTGCTTTGATTTATCGATCTTGCAGGCCGAAGCAAGAGGACTGAAGCGGCTACAGAATTCTGCTCTGGATGCCCAATACTTCTCCGGATGTCGATTTTGACGGCGCATTTTCCGTAGGAATGTACATATTCTGAAGTAACTGCTCCCTAAAACTGTAGGTTGAGCAGCGTTTTCTTCGAATTGCTGCCTCCTACGTACTTTGTGCCCGATTTTGACAGGGCGTCTTCAGCATTTGGATGGCCCAATCACCAATTTGGCCTGTAAAATTAATACAGTCTGGACTTTCCCTTAATCCAAATGCAAACAATCTGTTTGTGTGTTTGTGTTGGATATACAGGTAGTCCTCGACTTATGACCCACAGTGGAGCCCAAAATTTCTGTTGTTAAATAACACATTTGTTAAATGAGTTTTGTCCCATTCTACGACTTTTTTTGCCTCAGTGGTTAAGTGATTCACTGCAGTTGTTAAGTTAGTAACCCGGTTGTTAAGTGAATCTGGCTTCCCCCATTGACTTTGCTTGTCAGAAGGTCGCAAAAAAGGGGATCACATGACCCCGAGACACTGCGACCGTCATAAATATGAACCAGTTGCCAAGTATCTGAATTTTGATCATGTGACCCTGCAAAAGGTCGTAACTCTGAAAAATGGTCATAAGTCACTTTTTTCAGGTCTGTAACTTTGAACGGTCACTAAACGAACTGTTGTAAGTCGAGGACTAGCTGTTACTCTTCCAGATGCATTGCGCAGACGCAAAGTATTCCTACTTCCATTTTTATCTTTCAGTTTGTGGGCACCTGCCATCTTCTTTCAGCAAAACAAGAGTATAAATTGATGCTGTGGGCTCAGCCTGCCGGTGTTGCACTAGCATAAAATGTTTTATTACTCATTCCTTCCAGTCCAACAGGTAGAACTGGAGCACAGGCTTTACAACTGAGATGTTAAAATAAGATACGCTACCCACAGTTTCTGTAAAGGTAAACCTCAACCGTTCGTTTAACAACTGTTTGAAGTTTTGACGGTGCTGAAAAAAGTGACTTGGAGCTACTCCTCAGATTTATGAACATTGCAGATGTCAATCACGCAATCAAAATTTTGTGCTCAGCAACGGGCATGTAGAGTCAGTTGCATCATCCTGGGTGTTAGGATATGGTTTGAGCCTAACAGTTGTCCAGGTAATATATCTGTACTGTTTGTACACATATATTGTGTACAAACACAATGTGTATATATGTGTATATGTACTGTTACTTTAATCTGTAAATGTATTATGTGACTTTAATGCTGAGTCATGCTGTAATTAGGTAATGACTGTTTGTGAGAGTATTTAAGCAAGGTATTGTAACATGTTCAGTTGCTGCTATGATATGCTGCCATGGATGATGAAGCTGATATGATAAGCTGCCATAGTGAGGAGTTGCTATCTGTAATCATCGTTGGATGGATCTGTAACCATCATGGTTTGTGAACCAGAGTGAGTTTGTTATTCTAACCAACTACTGTTTGTTGGGTAAGAAGATATCTGTAACTACTGGACTGATTTACTGGCAAAGACTTGGAATTTGTTTAAAGACTATGAGACTGTTTTCTACTATAAAGTAAGCTTTGATAAACCAGTTTACATATCTCTTATTCATTGCTCTCAGCAACGTTTCCTTGTGCAATTTACTCTGCTGGTTGGTAACACAACACCAATATCCTTAACCCTGGGGTCACGTGATCACCGGATGTGATCCTCCCAAGGGGGTGCTTCCAGCAAACAGTCATGGAGAAGACCAGGTTTGTTTAACAAACCCTTAATTCACTCAACCAGCACAGTAATATGGGATGTGACTCATTTTAGGACCGCTTTGCTTAACAGTGGAAGTTCTGGTGCCACTTCTGATCATAAACGGACTATATGTATTTTGGTCTCCGCAAAAGAATAAATAAACATGAATCTGACTTTAAAAAATGATTCAAGTCTGCTTTGGAAATCTTTGAGCTTACTTCTTTTGTTCATTTGGCCTCTCAGACTTTTTTTCCCTAAGGTTTAGATTTTTATCATCATGAACGCTGGATACAACTTCCTGGAAGAACGCAGTGGGGAAATCTCTCTGCAATTTGATGGTATCTCAAGCCTTGTCACTTATAGCCTCTTCTGGTGGCCTCCCAGGCAGTTCTCATTACAGATAGTCCTCGACTTACAACAGTTCACTTAGTGGCAACAGCACTGAAAAAAATGACTTATGACCGTGTATCTTTTCTTTTATGTACACCGAGAGCGTATGCACCAAGACAAATTCCTTGTGTGTCCAATCACACCTGGCCAATAAAGAATTCTATCTATCCTATCTAT